TATATTACTTATGAAATAAGACTGTATGGGGAGTACTTGTAATAATGCATGCCATGCATTATTATCATCTTATTTTCTCTTTCATGTGGGGATTTTAATCATTTATGAGTACCTGAAAAGCTGACTGCTCTTGAGCCTTAATTTGGCTAAGTAAGGCATATACAATGAACACTTTTCATCTCTATTCAAAGGAAAGAATGAATCAGTTTTTATTTCTTGACCTATTGCAATTAAAAGCCTAGTGAGAGCTAATTTTATTTTTTGAGACAGGGTCTTGCAGTGTTCCAGGATCACCTTGAACTTGTGTGCTAAAGTAATCCTCCTGACTCAGCCTCCCGAGTAGCTGGGGTAACAGGTACATGCCACCACACCTTGTTGCAATGACAGCTAATTTTAATTTGGAAGTAATTTTAAAAAATGTGTTTATTTAAAAACCAAAGGTTTTTAATGTTTTATATTCAAGAGGGCAAAATTAACTTTTTAATCCATATTTTCTTCTTGAAACACTTGACTAAAATAAAGACTCCTTTTGGAAATATTAAGTCACTATTTCCACAATTAGAGTTCTAACATTAAGTTAGAAACTTAACAGCTGGCCAAGCTTCAGTTCAACTAAAAGAAAGATGGAGACAGTGCGGAGCATAATTAGAAACACAACTGCCCTCCAGGACTATTCATGTCACACAGGGTTCCTCTTAAGCCCTCCAGATACCCTCCCTTTCCATTACCCTGGCCAAGTCCTCTGGTTTCTTCTGCCAATTATTAAATGGCATTATAAGTTTTTAAATAACTTCTGTGAAAGAACTGTGAATTCCACTAGAATTCTTCACTTACCCAACATTTTATTTAGATATTTAATGGTATGTTAACTCTAATGGACTTACTTCAACATTGATACTCCAAGTTTTAATAATTAAGTAATGAAAAAAGTCACTACTCAAAGTAAAATGGAATGCAACAGTATCCCACTTTCTGAGGGGCTGCTTAGAATAATAAATAAAATCACAGGGGTGGTGGTTTAGCATACCAGTGATCTGAACAGGTTCTTGTCTAAAACGCTGCCGAGTCACAAAGACTGATCAGTGTTTCAAACACTGACTTCATAAATACAGTCAAAAGGTAATTTCCCTCTACAAACCCAATGACATCATGCAGGAACCTTACTCATTATCCATGGAAGAAATATGGGATCATAACATTGCAGTACTGGAAAAAATTTCAAGGCACTCTAGTTTATCTTCTTTTTTATAAACAAGGTAATGGAGGCACAGAGAGGGCACTGAGAATTGCCTAAGGTTGCACATCCCAAAGTGGTGAACTCCTGACTTCCAACTCCTGGTACAACTTACCTTCCCCTCCTTCCGCATGACTTCATGCACCAGGCGGACGGTTCAGGTTACAGCAGTTGTCTTTTGTATTATACCAAATTCTAACACATTTTCCAATATACATATTTAGAAACACAGGTTAGAGTACATTTTAAGCTTTCACTCTTCCAGTGAGAATCTAAAGAGGGCATTTTCACCTTTTATAAAAATTGTGAAATAATCATTGACATGCTAAGGACAGTCCAGTTACTTCATCATATAAATTAGAATCATAATTTCAAAGCAAATTCAGATGATTTTACTCTTACTTAGTGAACAAAACCTCACAACTTGATAATTTTTATATTTTATTATCCATTTATATTACAAATTATACATTTGAATGTTTTCTTTGTTGCAGAAAAATTCCTACAGTATAAATATAATTTCACTTTTCTTACTCAAACCTACTCTATTAGTATATAATAGAGATCTCTTCTGTGTCCCAGAACAAAAAGATTTATTTCAAATCTAAGAGGAATTGGAGTATCATGAATAAATGAACAGTTTATGGAGATCATCAGGTGGACTAAGTGAAAAACACTGATTTATATATTTAGTATCATTAGTTTGTTAACAGTAAATTTAAAGTAGATCACTAATTCTTCAAATTAAAGAAAAATGCAAGAGTGCGGAAACTATTCATACCAACCATTACTAGGCCATATTTCTGGAGCTTTAGTACAGTTTAAAAAGCAAGCAATAGGGCACCAACCTAATTACCATGATGAAGAACTTCCCATCACTGTAAGAACAGAATTTAAGATGCAACTTTATTTCATTGCCTTTAAGCATTATATTAAAATTGCAAAACATACAGTTTACATACATATGCTGGTATAGTTACATGTACAATTTTGTATTTCTTTTCTCTCTTCAATTCAGTGAATATTTATAAAATAGCTTGTATATGTGTGGCACTATACTGTGCACTGAGGATATTTAAATAACTAAGATATAGTCCTTATCCTAAGGAGATTCATTTGTAATCCATGGAAGAGGCAGATTTGTTTAAAAAAATAAAAAAAGAGGACCAAAATACTGGGACTAGGCATTATACAATGGCAGAAAGGAGATCGAGACTATAGGTTTATCAAGCCATTAAGTGAATTTGGCTATTTCTTTAGGCTTTCTACACAGGATAAAATGCTTCTCAGTGTATTCTGGAATGTTTTGACGCTATTTTAGCAAATTACAAAAGCTCTGCATTTATTAAGTTATTACATAATTATGTGAAACACTTAAGATCCTAAAAATATATCTATCCTATTTAACATTAGGTGCATGTTCCAGAAATGACCACATTTGAAAAACCATAGTTTAAATTCTTTACATGCATGAGGCTTTCTGGAATTCACATTATTTTAAGTTTCAAACTCATGTGCAAAAATTATTTTAATTAAGAAAAATAAATGCAATAACTTAAAATGTAAGTTAACATTCAGAAAACTGGATAATATGATTATGCCAAAATGAAACCTAATATCATCTATAGCTATAATGCACTAACAAAAACAGAAAGACAAAAAAGAAATAATATATTATAAGGTACAAATGAGACATTTACATTGAAGAAATCATTACAGTGGTTGCCTCTGAGGAGGGGAATTGGGGTTGGAGGGGGACTTTTCCTTTCATCTCTACTTCTTTAAAATATATATTTTAAGATGTTGATGGATCTTTATTTTATTCATTTATTTATATATAGTGCTGAGAATCAAACCCAGTGCCTCACACATGCTAGGCAAGCACTCTACTGCTGAGCCACAACCCCAGCCCTTCTTTTTACCTATGCTAAAAAAAAAAAAGAAAAACAAAAAAAAACCCTTTATTTTAGTTGTAGATGGGCACAATACTTTTATTTTATTTATTTATTTTTATATGGTGCTGAGGATCAAACCCAGTACCTCACACATGTTAGTCAAGCACTCTCTCTCTCTGAGTTACAACCACAGCCCATTTTACCTATACTTTTGTGAACTTTGAAATTTTCATGTACTTGGATTGTCTCCAAATAAAATAATTTAAAAAAAGAAAATTGGGTCAAAATTCCTTTTCTTATTGGCAAAGAATTAAAATATTACCTGCTATTTTTTTTATTATTATTGCTACTAATACTATTATTATTACTAATAATACTAGTAGCAGTAGTAGGAACTAAATCCAGGGTCCTGGGCATGCTAAGTAGGTGCTCTACCACTGAGCTACATCGCCCAACCCTTTTAAAATTTATTTCACTTCTTGCTAAATTGCCCAGGCTGTCCTCCAACTCAAAATCCTCTTGCTTGAGCCTCTTGAGTAGCTGGGTTTACAGGCATGCACCACCAGACCTGACTTCCTGCCATTATATTTAAAGACAAGTTTCAGCCATGCCGTGGTTAACAAACAGCACTAATTTGTTACCAATACTAAATTTTATGAATTACTTCACCCTAAAGGGACACGTGCATTGCCCTTATTTGATGCTTATCTCAACAGGATCCAAACTGCTGAGCTGGTGGATTCTGTGCCAAATTAGCTGATGTTTACTTTGAACACACTGGTATTTGGAAAATAAATCCCCCCTTTTTCCTTTCTTATCTTTTAACGTTTGTTTTGCAATACATTCCATAGCACTGTGGATGATCTGCCAGTGGTGATGCACCATTGTTTTGAATTTTTAGGTGAGAGCCAATACATAACTCATTTCTCAGCTGTTTGTATATATAATCACTTTTTTTTTCCCTTCCCAGATGCTGGGCATTGACCCCGCGGCCTGGGTTTGTTGGGCAAGTGTTCTACAATGAGTTACAACTCCAGTCCTATAATCATTTTTAAATGGCATATTTTGCAAGCACCTTGATAAAATAAAAACGGGTTTTGAAGCCCCAGTCACAAAATTTCACGAACTGTGCATAGTGGGATGAATCTGTTCAGTAAAGTGTGGAGTAGTAGGCAGCAAAGTAATAGAGTCCCCGGATCGCTATGATTTAAGTCTCTAAGGGAAAGGATTACTGTAGAGTGCAGATAAGGTTTTTCCCCCTGTTCCGTAAATTCTTAACACTTACATTATCACAAGCATACAGATCAGGAAATTACGTCGTAGCACTAATCTCTTATGTAATTCTTTCAAAAGAAAAAAAGAAACTTTAAAAAAGTTTCTTAAAGGCAAGTCAACTTCGTTTCCAAACCTTCCTAGCACAACTTCAGAGACCATGGCGATGGTATCGCCCGCACAGTTGCACTCCACTCTCTGCAGCTGTTAGCTGTGAGAGTTTTCAAGTATTCCTTACGCTCCCTAATGTTCTGGGGCAGCCCCTGATTACCCCCAAGCCAGAGGGAAAACATTCCCAAGAAAACGACTTCAGCCTTAGCCACCCATCAAGGAGAACTGGAGCTCCGTTGAAACTTCTAGGAGCAAATGGAAACTTTTATGCCAAAAGTTTCTCTAGGGCCCAGCTCCCCAGCCCTGCGGTTCTCCTCAACTCTTCCAAGTATCCCGAAAGAACTCCAGGGAGCTGGGAGCCGCCCACGCGCGGGCCCAGACTTCCGGAGCTGTCCCAGGAGAGTAGCGACGTCGTGTCCCGCCCGTCCCTTGCCGGGCGCTGCCCTCGGCCCCGGCGCCGGCCTCCTGAGCGCCCCAGCCCGCCTTACCCCGCTCTACTGCGGCGGTGACCAGACGCGCTCCTTCCCGAGCAGGGCTCTCCAACGCTTTGAAAACGAGAATTCCTTTCACACGTGCGGTGCAACTTCACGCGTGCGCCCCACACCAGGGCACGGCCTCCCCGCCCCGGCCGCCATCCCCGCCGCCCCAGCGCGCTCCGCGTTGGGCGCCCCCGTGCCGCAGCCCCCGGCCGCCGCGCCACGCCCCTGCCGCCTCCCCCCTGCCCGGGCCGCGCGGGGGCGGTGCCAGGGTCCAAGCGCACCTCCATCCGGCGCGCATACCACACACCCGCGCACCACATCCCCACCCTGCAAGCGCCGCGTACCCGGCATTCACCATCCCATCTCGCATCGGCGCCCATATCACGCACTTGCACCTGACCTCGCACCTATAGCCTCATCTCGCAGGCGCACCCATACTCCACTTTCACATCCCACTGCGAACCTACACCTGCACCCCGCACCTGGACCCATACCAGGCATCCGCATCCCCAAACCCGGCACTTCGCATCCGCGCCTGCAGGACTGCCTGCCAGCTCCGAGTGTGGAAACCCGGACTCTCCCCTGCCGACCCACACCCACCAACGCACGTTAATGCGGGGTTGGAGGGCAGAGCTGAGCGCGCGCGGACCCGACCCGCCTGGGGGAGCACCCTCAGCGTGGACGTGCGCTCCTCTGCCCGGGCCACGCTCGCCCTCCGTTCGGCGGGTCCGGGCCTGCAGTTACTCTCAGGGAGTTACACTCCCTGATCCTGGATTGTGTGGGCGTCGGGCACCTCGGCCCCTCCCGCGTGCCGCCGCCTGGGGACTTGGGCCCTGGACCGACAGCGCAGGGTGGGGCTGGAGCCCTGAGCCCACCGAGTCCCGGCTTAGCCTAACGAGTCCTGGGCAGAAGAGCAGACTTGGCCAGCGTGGGCACTGTCGAGGAGGCGCCCCGGGCAGGGGAGAAGGCTATAAATAGCGGGCCGGGAGCCTGCTTCCTGTCACACACACTTAATTTAGCCTGCAGGCATATGGATTCTTCTTAATATTTATTTATTTTTTAAAATAACTTGTTGGAGGAGCATGATACTTGGCGGGGCCTGAGGTGATGGGAAGGTGTCCCTATGGATCATCTTCCTGCGGGTCATTATTTGGAACCCGTCTTGGGACGGAATACCAGTGTGCAGCCTAAACAGCTTCTCTGTACAGGGACGAAGGTTTTAACATTTTTTTAAAAAAAATATTTTGTTTTAGTTGTAGTTGGACACAATACCTTCATTTTATTTTTATGTGGTGCTGAGGATCGTACCCAATGCCCCACACGTGCTAGACGAGCGTTCTACCTCTGAGCCACAAGCCCAGCCAGTTTTTGACATCTTTAACCCTCAGGATTGGATTTACCCACACTTGAAAGGGACACGTAGGACAAAAGGTCACTGAACACAGCATCTGGTCCACGTTAATCATCGTTTCAAATCAGGCAGGCCGTGTGTTCCTTTAAACTCCCTAAATTGAGGTATCATGCTTGGTCGACAGACGATATTTAATAAATAATAATGGAATTTTGGTGGCCATTCTAAAGGCTGAAAATGATTTCAAAGTTTCCTTTATGAGTGATGGATTGATTGCAGGAATGTTGCATAAGTTGAGATTCTGGGTGTTTTCAAATCTCCATGGAGCAGCCTGCTTTTATTAGAGTTTAGATCTCAGATTAGCAATCAGCTTGTCTTAAAGAATTTGCTTGTTTTATTGAGTTCTGAGTTAAAGGTTGTTCTAGAGAGAAACAGCACAAAATTTGTAAAGGCACATCTAAAGTTCTTTTCCCCCTTTTGAACTTGAGAATGTATATATGTAGTAATTATGTAAACTCGGGTTTGTTTTAGGAAAAAAATGAGAAATATGATTCTAGAAGGTTTTTTTTAAAAAAACCGCTTTGAACATTTCTTATTCTAGAAGGTTTCTAAAATGCTTTGAACATTTTCTTATTCTAAGTAGCATATGAGTGGTTTCTATTTTTCTTCATTACAGGGGCATTTACAGTTCTCAATGTTTGTAGTCTCTTTGGCAAATATTGTATTACAAGGTAAACTGCATTTTTAATACTTTTCATTAAAACATTTTCATAAAAACTATAGATTTAAAATGATAAGAAACTCAAACAAATAATTGAACAACCATGTTCTTAACATTATTCACAATAACCCAAAAGGGGAAGCAACCTAAGTGTCAATGGATGGGTGAGTGGACACGCAAAATGTGGTATACATATACAATGAAATATTGTTTAACCTTAAAAAGCAAAAATAATTCTGACATATTTACAATATTCTGGACTTTGAAGATAGGCTAACTGAAATAAGCCAGTCACAACTGTAACAAATTTTGTATGATTCCACTTGCATGAGATTCTTAGAATAGTCAAACCCATCAATACAGAAAGCTGAATAGTGGTTGCCAGGGAGTGGGGGAATGGGCACCAGGGGTTAGTGTTTAGTTGGTATGGAATTTTAGTCTGAGTAGATGAAAAGAGTTTCTGGAAATAGGTGGTAGTGATGGTTGCAAAACACAATGTGAGTGCACTTAATGCCTCAAGAACTGTACATAAGAATGGTTAAGATGATCAGTTATGTATTATGTATATCTTACTGCCATTTATTTAAAAAATGCTATTGTATAAAGACTAGCAAAACTAAGAAGATATATATATATATATATATATATATATAAGATAGACAACTAAGATGGTAATCATGTGGTATAGCTTTTAGTTGTGAAGGTTTTTTTGCTTCCCCTTTGATTTCAAAACGTTGTATTTATGATAATTGGCGGGGAGGATATATGTATATATATACATATACAAATATACCAAAGTGACTACAGCTGAATTCCAATTTATGGATCATATTTTATGTTTTAATGAAATTTCTGGCAAAGAAGGTACACAGTGAAGAGGAAGTGGCTAAGACTGTCACTCTGAGCTAGAATATCTAAGTTTAGGTGTGGAGAGGCACTGCCTCTCTTTACTTTCACCAGTCATTGAGATGTGCTTGCCTCTGGCGCCCCCTGGTGGTCATGGAGGGACCTGCTTCTCATAGCCCAAATCATCTGAATGAATCTTGGTACTTTTGTAAACCTAATGGAGATTCAACAAATATTTGTTGAATGTAGCTGTCTTTCTTCAATGTGGCAGCCCAGAATAAGCACAATAATATTGTGAGTGATTATATCAGAGAAAAATTTAATGGCACTTTTCTATAAAAATCGATTGCTTGATTTTTTCCCCTTCTTAATGTAAAATTAGCATAGATGATAGTGTTCATTAGCTACTTCATACTAATTGGCAGTGTGTAGCATTTCAGTTACTTTGTGGCTATTATAGCACTTTTGTATTTCACCCAGCCATTTATTGAACATCTGCTCATACAAGGCCTTGGGCTAAATGTTGGCATAGACCAGAAGTTCCCACTTTCTCTGCTCAAATAATTTATTGTACTTAGTTCTGTTGCTAATCTCTGCCCATAGGAGGATATGTTCATTCTGATTACTAATAATTGATCCAACATAAAGACTTTAAATACATCTCTTTCTTGATAAGACAATGGTAGTCAATAAAAAAGTCATTTATTTTTTTTGCAGGCTGGGGATGGAACCCAGGGACTAATGCATTCTAAGCAAGTGCTCTATCATTGAGCTACGTACCCAGCACTAAAAGATAGCAATTTAAATTGCTTCTGATACTACTGTAAATGTTCTGTATATGTCTTAAAATGTGTAATGTAGTAAGGAAAGATACATGCCTTTTGGGAAGCAAGACTTTTTCCTTTTTGGAGGGATTACATCTGTGTAATTCTCTTCTGAATTTTATAGCGACATGGTTTTAATTCCTTGATTTTAGAATACTTTTATGTTTACAAACAAATCTGCTTCTATGAAGTGATATTCATGGTAAGAATTTACAGGTGATTCAGGAGGCTGTGGCAGGAGGATTGCAGGTTCAAAGCCAGCCTCAGCACTTTGCTTTTGCTGAGTGCTAAGAAACTCAGTGAGACCCTGTCTCTAAATAAAATACAGTTTTGAGCTGGGGATGTGGCTTAGTGGGCGAGTGCCCTGAGTTTAATCCTTGGTACTCCTCTCCCCACACACAAAAAAAGAATTTACAGGTTATATCCCTGTTTTAATTCTACCTTAGACTAGCATTTTCTCAAGGGGGTTAAGAGTCCATTGCCTTTAACAATCTTATTATCAGTGGCCCTGGGAACCTTCCCCACTTGTCCCCAAATACTACAGGACTGCTTGGGAAGTAACAATATCTGTATTTACTACACAGGGTTACTGTTGACAGTTTAGTCTTCCTTAAGGATTTCTTAGGAAAGAGTCAAGATCATATTTGGAATAAGTGTCTTGAATAAACTCTTATCTCAAGGTCTTCAAACTAGTGTGAAGAGTTGTAGGTACTGTGCACATACCTGTAATCCTAGCTACTTGGGAGACTTGCTTGAACCAGGAGTTTGATACCAGCTTGGGCAACATAGTGAGACCCAAGTCTCAAATATAAAGAGCTGTCATGTTGACCTTGTTCTGCCTTTGGCCCCCATCTCCTCTGCCCCACCCATCCATGGGGCTCCTCTTATTAAAGTACTCTCTACTGCACAGCTGAAGCAAGAGTAGGGTGGGGAGAGCTTAGAACTTGTTTTCTTGATTCTGATAATGGTTTAGTAGTTTACAGGTCCAGTCTCTAGTGAATATTTACAGCATAGATTGCACTTCAAAAAGGAAAGAATCCAGAAAGAAGGTTTTGCCTTTGAATTGAGGATTGGAGCTATTTTAGTTTTATAATTTGCCATCAAACTGAAAAGACCTAACTTAATGACTCAATAACATTTTGTTCTGTTTTACCATGAGTTAGTTCTTCAGATTCTCTAGCACCTTGTTGTGCTTTGAAAATGGTTTGTCTCCCAAAATTCAATTAGAGTCTACTATCCATTGTGAGGCGTTAAGAAGGTGGAAATTTAATCGAACTAGAAAGTGGGGCCCGTGGGAAGTGATTGGAAGATAAAGTTATCAGAATGGAGCCCTCAGGATTGCTCCCTGTTTCATGTCATATGGCAGTAAAGCCTTGAGACCGTGTCATCAAGAAGGCCATCGCCAGATGT